CAACATGTAAGTAATGCGGGCGCCTATGGAGGAAATAGCATAATCAATAATATATAAAGTAATCTAGAAGGGTTGAAACACTGGTCACGCGATTTTTAAAATGCTTCTAATTTAACCGTTTTGACATAATTTGATTAACGTATATTTAGCATTGTCTTAGACGAACAAAGATATCTAGCAAAGAAATGAGACAGTTAACTTTTCCCTAAATGATTTTTAACAGCAAGTTTTCTACGCAATTTTTGCGATATGGTAACCAAGAGCAGCCTATCCAGCATAGACGGAATTTCATATTTTTTACTGGAGTGGTGCCAGAAATTTTAGGAAGGTGAGCAGGTGAGGCAATCCACATACGTCACCAAACCCCAGTCAGGTCTACACTCTAAGGTGGACTGTGGAGCCGCGAAAAACACCGCGGAAAACGTCCGTGCATGCGTCAGCCTCACTGAAATTTTCCTTGCGAACGTGGTGTCAAGTATTCCAAAGGTTGTCAAAAACTCAAAATGGCAGTGACAAGGAGCGATTTCGATGTTTTGCCTTTTCTTCTGTACGTAGCATGTACAATTTTTGCGCTGACTATATTTAAGGTAATGGTTTACTCTGCAATTTAAGCGTGTGCAAATGCTTTGATAAACTCTTGTGTCTTAAGTTCGGTAATCGACAATTGTTCAAGAAATATTCACACGCCTCCTAGTTTAAAACGACTTTTAATTTAAATTCTGTTTCTTGTTAGATTTTAAATGTTAGAAAACTTTTTATTAATGTCCAAACTACCCGTCTAGTGTATGTTTTGTTTCACTTACCTTAAATAATTAAATAGCCATGTTTTTGTTTATAATTTGGTATTTAAATCCCCACCATTTTTTCTAGTGTTAAACACCCCAGGAAAAATCTGAAAAAATCAACATTTCTAGCCTTGCAAAGGTTTTTGAAGTTGTCAAATCAATGAATTACCGAATTTGGCATGTCCGTTAGTCAGAAAGTTGAAGCTAAAATAATATTAAATGGACCTGTAAAGTGTAAACCCAACACAATAAATGCAGTCTTACTTTTACAAAATCATTGTGTTGTTTAAATCCGAGTACAATTTATAATGCGCTATAATGAGTACAAAATCTAAAGACCTTCAAAAGCTTCTAAGATCTTTAATATTAACTTTCTCATTTCTTTACGTTGTAATATATAACTTATATTATGTATTAAACTTGGAAAAGCAATACTTATTATCAACTTTAAAAGCAAAGGGCTATGCGAAGGATGATCTGAGCTGAGCTAATAGAGTTTTAAAATTTTATATTGCTCCAATAAAACAGTGATTCTGTGAATGGAAGCGAGGAGCGATTAGTTTCCGAGTGTTGCACTGTCCTTTTGTGTTTGAATGTACTCTTATATCTATTTTTTATCATCAACACTCTGCACGTTGGAGTGGCTATTGCTTTATTATGCCAAAAATTGGGGTTCAAATTTTTTCGGAGGGGTGAACATTTTGTTTGGCAAGGTGAAAACTAATATTTGGGGGGTAGCACCCCCCCCCCCCCTCCGCACCCCAGAAAATCCGTCTATGTCATCCAGTCGGATGAAGTTCGGCACTCGTGAGATGCTCGGATTTGCATTTAGATTTTAAAGATAGCGGTAATTTGTTGGAGTCGGTATAGGCTATAGTTTTAATATTAAGTTTTTAAAGATGTAAACAATCAGAAATTGTTTTATAATCCAAAACAGCTTTGAGATGCATTTCCGAACTGCGATCGGAAATCTACGATTGGATAGGCTACTCTTGGTAAACATCGAACGATCACGTGACCAGTGTTTCAACCCTTCCATATTATTTTATCTATTATTAACGATACTGTTACCTCATACGCGCCCGCATTAGCGATTCTGTAGTACTTCATATAGATTCTCTCTTTGCTCTTTCTCTATTCTCATAATACATTTATCGATGTTATTGCGAAGAATTTATGCAAATCTTTTAAAGTATTTTATTATTTTGATTAATTTACGCTTGTTACTGACAGTAATTGAGTTCCCTATGAAAAAATGACGTAATTCGTCACCTTGTGGTCTACCAAAGGGCAAACTTAGAGTCGATGTGCACCACAGTAGCCCCACCGACTAATAAAGTTTAAAAACAATATAATTGTAATTATATAATATATGTCTGTTATGAAATTATTGAAATATAAACAATTTGGCGTGGGCTAGCTACTGCATGTACATGGAAACAATATTGTTCTAAACTTTTGATAATCTTTGAAAATAAGTTTATCAAGTTTTATATGTGTCGCCTTGTTTCATCTCCCTTCTCAATGCCTTTTTCTTTGACTGCCCTTCATCAATACGATAATTAGTAATAAAATCTCTGCCGTAGGAAAATGCTCTGATTCTTAAATAAAGTTTAACTATACTTTCCACGCACAGTTTCTGTGTTGAGTTCGAATGTTGAACTTCACAGGAAAACACAATATCTTGGCACAATCATTTGACTGCTGTAGACTTTAGTGTAGCACCACACACTGTTTCTGCTGGAATATGTTTAACGTTCCCAACCACATTCTCTCTGAAAGAAATTTCAGCAACTTCCAAGATCCCAACCAAGTCACTACGTGGAGTCCTCTTGTTCGAACTGAATTGTAGTTGTTAGTTTCAGTCGATTTCGTAGCATACAGGCGCAGCAAAGCTTGCAGTCCCCGGTTTAGCTGGGTCAAGTTGTATTGTAGTGCTGGCTTTACTGCCGGCTTCCTCATTTGCTGCGCTAGTGTTATAAAATCCAACCAAATGCTCAGGAATATGGAACAGTACTAAATTTTCCACTTTCTAGTTCTCACAATTTTGCAGCTCACGCGAACGAGGAATCAAGCAAAAAAAAAAAATTAAAAAAGTTTGTCTTGACTGTTCTATCGACAGAATGTTAAAAGTGGCCACAAAGTATCGAACAAAGCATCAGTAGAGGAAACAGCAGCCACAGGTTGTTTACCATTTACATGTAAAACCCATCCGGTTTGAAATTGTGCTAATGATAAGCAAAATTTCGGATAGAAAATCCCATTCGGATTGTTCGCTTTCCATTTAATAATTTCAATTGTTAAATCGCGAAGAGCCTGGAACTGGCGAAAAAAATTTTAAAAATGTAAATGGAACAACATTTAACGGTTGAAACTTTCCAATCGGTAAGAGAGGGCAACCTTTTCAAACAAACCGTTTATTCCGGATAAGTTCCTGTTGGGCCGTCGAAATATGCTTGTTCCATTTACTTTCCGTATGAAATCACCGGAATTTCCATGTAAATGGTAAACAACCACACTGTCCATTATTTCTGCCCCCCTCTCCAAATTTGACCTTTATCGATTCAGCAATGAAAGCCACGGCCTCTTTAGTCAACGCAGCACGAGTTTTGTCTCTTTTATCCTCGGTAGTTTCGATCTTGTGCATGTGTCTTGTCAAGCCCCCTTTAGACTTGCACACTTTCTCACACCGACTACAAGGAAAACCCCTCTCGCCATCAATTTCTTCGCGAATTCGCTTCGGCGAATTCAGCGTCTATTTTGTCTGACTGTATTTCCGCTAGAGCAACAGACACATCCAAGTTATATAAATCATCTGCGGTTGCGTCGTCTTGCGTCAAAATGTCTTCGCCCCCTGATGCATCTCGATCATGAACTGCTCAGTACGCTCGCTTTTTCGCCATCTTGATCTCCGAAGCCCTCTAGCGTTTTGAAATATGATCTTCTGTTGGCATATCATGTTCCCACTCATATGTTTCCTAATCACTCACAACAAAGGACCCCCTTTACTCTCACGTGACACAAATATAATTGGTTCTCGACATAATTGGCCGCTGTTTTTGAAGTTTGCCGGCTAGTCTAACCATCTACAATCGCAGGCAAAAACTGTTTATTGGCCCCCTCCTTCCTGTAACAAGTGATTCTTGCCACCTTCCCGCGCGTGCAATGTTGTTAAAACGATTTTTAAGCATATGTTTTCAATATTGTTAATGGGGGGAAGGGGGCATACACGTGGAAAAAGATCACCACAATATGAAGAGTCTCGTTATTTTTGCACGCGATTCCAGGTCTATTATAACCGTGATTTCATTGACCACAATGTTGCATGGTAACTGTGTTTGCTTTGCCTATTAGACAGCGATCAAGAATCTTCATATTACCGTCTTACTTTGAGCAAATTGCAGGCAAAATTGCCCCTTTACTCATGGAAAGCTTTTGCAAATATATATTAGTGGTGTTTTCTATGAAAAAAACAATTGATTTTTATTCTCTAGTTGATTTTTTAATTATTTAAAACATCAACTAAGTAATCAAAATTTTACCACCTGTGGGCTGTATATTAAAGGGCATTTAGTAGCATAGAGTTTATTGAAAATTTTCTATTTTCAAATTGATCTAATATATTAACAGAGATTTATAGTAGAAATATAACTGTCGTACTTGTCTTCCCCACAGGCCAAGCCATCAATATTTGCCCAACAAGGGAGATTACAGCATCCAGTGGACAGATTAGGTCGCCTTACTATCCATGCCACTATCCCTCGAACACTAGGTGCACCCTGACGATCAAACAACCCTTGGACACAAACTTTACTTTCTTTTTTAACAAGCTTGATATTGAGAGTGATCCATACGGTAGGTAATTTAATTTATGTTACACTTTAGGGCATGTTCGTATCTGCCCAGCTAACTGGGAAACTCCGCGACTCAGATTCACATGTTATTGTTAATGATGCTGAAAATCATTGGATATTGCCCAAAGAGAAAATGAATAAATTGTAGTTAAATTTGGATAAATTTGGGTCAAGGAAAAGTTAGCAAAGATTGTTTGCTATGCCGTGTAGAGTAAACTATATGCGTAATTTACCCATTGTATAATTTGTGCATGGTACATAACCTAATTCGATACTTTCGCTGGCGGAGGTACGCCGTCTCTGAGCGCCCTTTAGTTTACATATTATTAATATGTACTGTATTTACTTATTTACTTTACAGGTGGGTGTCGTTATGATAAACTCATAATATCTGGAGGTTTATCAAAAGAATTCTGTGGGTCCACCACTCCGGCGCTATTTGTGGTTGGCCTGAATGTCGTCACACTGACAATTGTAACAGATCTTACTAATGAACAAAGCGGTTTTGATCTCAATTTCATCGCGAGTCGGAGTAAGCAACATTTACGGTGTGTTCAGCGGCGCCAGAGGGAAACAGGGCGGCAAAAGATTGGCCTTGATTTTGAGGGGGGGTCGGGGGGGGGGGAGGGCGGGGGGCTAGACAAATCCAAACACCCAAGTCACTCCTTCACGACGAGTGTCGATATATGGAGGTTGCCAATCGGCATGGGAAACAATCAGAATTGCAAAGTGAACTTTTAGTTTCGTAAAATATTTTATTGTTTTACCATGAAATTTGGTTGTTAAGTTTGGCCCGCCATTTGAACATCGAATCGTTATTGGCCATTTTTGATCGCCAATGATACAAGCGTTGCTGAGCATTCATTGCATGACATTGTGGGCTCAGTCAAGAATACCTGCGCTTGTTGTTGCTTTACTTTTACTTATTCGTGGGGAACTAATCAACTAAAGCTTAAATTGTAAATTTAAATAGTTCCTTAACTGAGCTTGAGTCACTTAATATTTCTCTTGTGCCCAAAACTTTTTCTTGATTTTGAAATTCTACTAATAAATAAAAAACTTTGCCGATATAATGTAAAAATAACTAGCAGTTTTCCTCATTAACGTTCAGCACATGTCAGCATTTACATTCTTGACATTTTTGGTTAAGAAAAAGAATCAATTTGTGACCACAATTTCTGATCGTGTAAGGTATCGCCCAGGCTTCCCACCGGGCACACGACGTTGTTTCAACGTTGAAATTTGGTAGAAAAAAGGTTGCGACGTCGACAACCTAATAAAAATCTACGTTGCTCTGACGTTGTTTTACAAACATTGTTTCATCAGCAGCCAACAGACGTTGAATTAACGTTCATTCATGGTTAAATGTACGACGTCGATTTGTGAACCAATCTCAACGTTGTTTTAACGTGGATTCAACGTTGAATTATGGTTGACGAGATTGGCAACCTAATTTCAACGTTGTTTCAACGTCGAAACAGTAACGTCGATCCAATTTGCATAGTCAACCCTTTTTCAACGTCTATCCAACGTCTAGAAGGTCATTTCCAACGTCGATTCAACGTTGGATAAACGTCATTTTGCCCGCTGGGTTGTCCCTAGTCGTCTTAGTAGTACGTCTTAGAAAGCGTTCTCGTTAATATCGCTGACGTCATGGCGGATCTCGCTTGAAAGCCAAAGGACTTGTATTAAGGCCAAATATAATATCTATCGCAAGATAACATGCCAAAATTAGATTATCTTTTTTGACTACTTTCTATGTATAGAATATTCCTATGTTTATTATATTTTTTCTAGAAACTGGTCTTCCCTCGGCAGTTTATAGCGTGTGTCCGAACAGAACAATTACCCCCAGTTCAATTGGTCGTGTCCACTCGCCTGGATTCGCTGATAACTATGGCGCCAATCTGAACTGTAAGCTTACCCTGAATATGCCTTCAAACAAGGATGTTGAAATTTTCTACAACTTTTACGACATTGAGTGTAAGTGTACAACAGCAACAAATATATAACAATTACAAAAGACTCTAAAACCACGCGTGCTAAAATTTTCCTGGTTAACCTAGAAATAACCCTATTTACGTTAACTTAATATTCCTGGCTAAATTTCTTGGTTATCTTCCAGTCAAAATACAAGAACCTTCCTCCCACTTCCCCTTCTGTATCTGTTGTCATTTTCTTTCAATTGTTAAATTGTTAAATTGTTACGAGAAAATATGGCCACAGTGTTCGTTGTTTTATATGAGAATTTGTGGCAAAAGGTCCATTTTGCATTAGATTCACTGCATTTTAACACATAAAAAGTGCGGAATTTGAATTTTATTACGATATTTGTCTATGAATCGGTAACCTTTAAAGATGTTCGAGGTGAAACCAGGATTATTCATATTGAATGTTCGGACGCTCTTTTGTTTAAAAAAATTATTAATTTCATAAGCTTTTGACTCCCAGACTGCAGTCTTCAACCATTGTTTAACAATCATGAGATAAATTACAAATAGTTTAGAATCATATGAGATTTCCGCCTACGTATATGATACTAATAGATTTATAATATTACTAAAGTTTCTTCAATATTAACCGGTATTGTTTTGGGAAATATTTAGAATTGTTTTCGGCATTTTTTTGTAATTGCCGTGTGCCATGCTTCCATTGTGGGTCTCCGTCAATGGTCGCTTTTATCAATTACTTCTCCATTTTCAAAGTATATTCGATAAAGTCTATTTTGCTTACAGATGCTGCCCGGTGCGGGAAAGACAGGTTGGCGATTGAGGGCAAAAGTTTCAATGATTTCGTGTGTGGTGTACGATCTGCCGGCAGGGTGGCAACATACAATGGTGGTAATGTCTCATTTCATTTTACAACTGATGGAAGTAGGTCCGGGAGAGGATTTATGTTGACCTACAAATTCATTGACAAACCAGTCCCAAGTAAGTACGATCAATGACAAACTAGGAGCATTGAATGTTGCCTATACGATTTTTCTTCCAGTTATAGACTACCCTGGTTGCCAGAGTTCTCGTATCCTTCGCCTTATTCCCGCTCGTATTTATTTTACGCGAGGCGAAGAGAACCTCTGGTGGTACCAAGCACATGATTGCATGGTTAGTTATAATTAGCATGCAGTCACATGAAGTGATGTGATTGGCTAGACAAAAAAACCTGTGTTTATAAATCTCAGAGAACATGATGTAAACAAAATACAGAAATAATACGAACGTATTAAAATGCTTTACTTAGCACAGGTTATTTGAGATTATAACTTAGTAAGTTGTTCCGCTATAAAAATATTTTCTGCGCTGGAGAAGAGCTGCCATCGCGGCATGACTTGAGCGCGGCATGACATGTTCACTCTATTACAGTATTAATATTTGTAAAATATAAAGTGTTGTCACTTGCTTATCGTTCAAGATTTTAAATTTTGGTAATTCTTTGACTTTAATAGTTATTAATATGATTTATTGCTGATAAATTTTGCGATTACTTCAACAATCTAGGTCCCTCACTAGCCAGGAAAATTCCAGCATCTTCAGCTTCTGCTAGGCCATTTCTTTCTGGAGAATTTTTAAATAGTATTTTTCTTGAACCAGTTTTAGAAAATGAAATAAAACATGTCGCTAAAGCTTTCCATCTGGAAAGGCCATTGGTTATGACAACATTTCAATGTCTGCTATTGACTTAATTTCAAGACCATTAACACACATTGTAAATTTGTCTTTAGATAATGGTTTCGTTCCGGATGAAATAAAAATAGCGAGAGTTATTCCTTTATACAAGGCAGAGAATAAACTATTTGTCAATAATTATAGACCTATTTCCATATTACCTATTACAATTTTACATATGCATGGCGCGCATCTTGTTCGCTTATAAATATTGTTATGCTGTCTAAAACGAAATAGAATTTACATATCACATTAAATTTACCTTATTGCACTTCAGAATAAAGATCTCGGCGCCAATACTTCTACTCAAACAGTCAAACTGTAGTTCGTGCTATTCGTGGCGCTTACGCCGCTTAGCAACTGCTCACTGAATGGAACTCTCCGATATTTAGCGTTGATTTTCCTCCCAAGATCAGCGCAACAGTCTTGTAAGACAGCTAAATCATTCACCGCAAATGCGGATTGAACCGTTTCGTGAATACTAACAAGGACTGGAGTCTGGAGCAGCAGACATTTCCGAATTTACCGTAGATATCTTTAAATTTGAATCTTTCGACAAAGCTACAACATGACACTTCGAATGAGCGCGCGCTCGGAAAGACTTTACCACGCGTCAAATGTTAATGATATTCAGACTAATGGAGCGCCCCTGACTTTTGTAAATCGGTCAGAACTCCCCACAGATCAGTCAAAATCGCAAAAAATCGCTTGTTACCATGGCAATAAGCGTCTAGACCAATCAAAACACTGGATTTTGACTTTTTGACTGACCGACTTTGCGTATGTCAGCTGCTCATTGACTTGACTAAGCTCGTCGGCTCAACCACTGTATGAAATTTGATCACTGGACTACAGTTCGATTAGAATTTTAATTGCTAGCGCTGCATGATAATAGATACTGGACTATTATAAGGTGTCGCTGCATGATAAAAAATAACTGGACTATTGGTCGAATATTTACGACTTTAATTAAGTTTGCAATTTTTACGTTAGTCGCGTGACTGGTTTGACGACCCCTAGATCCGCCCCTGTACACACAATATTTTATGTGTAAATCAATACGGTTTTAGAAAGGGTCAATCAACTTCATTAACCCTTGTTGATTTATATGATAGAATTTCAGAAGCAATCGACAAAAAGGAATATGCTGTTGGAATTTTCCTGGACCTATCCAAAGCTTTTGACACGGTAGACCATGACATTCTTTTTGAGAAATTGGAATATTACGGTGTACGTGGCATAGCATTGAGTTGGATAAGAAGTTACTTTTCTGACCGAAAGCAACTTGTTCAGTTTAATAACACATGCTCTGCCTTTAAAACTATAACCTGTGGAGTTCCACAGCGATCCATTTTAGGGCCACTGATGTTTTTTTTATATATATCAACGACATACAGTATGTAATGTTTCTGATGTTGCAAAACTAATTCTTTTTGGTGACGTTACGAACTTGTTCTTTTCGCATATAAATCCAGTGCACTTGGTTAATGTGACAAACGGAGAGCTTCAAAAATTTTCGATTTGGCTCAGAGCGAACAAATTGTCTTTAAATCTTGATAAAACAAAATGTATGATATTCAAACCTAGACAAAAAATCAACAAATTAACTTTAAAATAGTATTTAATAACAGAGAACTCGTTCAAACAAATGAAATTGTTTCTTAGGTGTCATTCTAGATGAGCATCTCACTTGGAAATCTCACATTAATCATGTGTCAAATACGATTTCCAAATCGATAGGAATAATACGCAAATCTAGCTTTTATTTGTTAAAACAATCACTGTTAACTCTTTACTACTCGATGGTGTATCCCTATTTGCAATACTGCGATATAGTGCGGGCATCTACGTATGCATCCAATCTAACTCGTTTGGCAATTTTTCAAAAACGTATTGTTAGAATTTTAAACAATAGTAGTTTCGATTCTCATACCAATTTGATCTTTAAAAATTTCAGATTACTAAAGTTCCACGACCTCCGTAAACTGCAAACTGGCCGATTTATGCTCTTGTGCATGAACAATCTTTTACCAGACCATTTTGAAAACCTATTTCTTTTAAAGCAGCAAGTACATAATTATAATACTAGGAGAGTTATGAATTTTACATTGCAACTCCAAGAACAAATCTACGGCAATTTTCAATTAAATTTCTCAAATTCATTAATAATTCATGAATAATTCAGCCAATGATAATCACCTATTTGATCACAAGATGCCATTTGGATACTTGATGAAAGTCACTAGTGTTTTCATCAAATATCTTAATTACGTATGCAAAATCACTTGAATAGAATTCCTAATTACGTTATGCTTGGTTAAGAATTTTATTCAAATCAGCAAACGAAAACATTCTGTTACGTTTCGATTCATTTGAGAAACCATATAAACAACTCGAGCTCGTGTCTCACCGGGATATCCAAACACTCGAAAACAATGTATGAAAACACTCGCGCTTCGCGCTCGTGTTCTCATACATTGTTTTCTCGTGTTTGGATATTCCGGTGAAACACTCGCTCTCGTTGTTCATATACAGGGTGTATCAAAAAAAACTGAACAGATTTGAAATTGCTCTCAATTTCGCAAAACACCTATTTGTATCCGGTTTTTTATATATATAGCTTCTTTGGGTACTTATAATGTAGAATAATGAAAAAAAATTTTTGAACTCAAATTTTGTGAACCAGGGGGGTGTGTCTTTTCCAACAAACTAAAAATGGCTCGCGCACAAAATTTAAAAGTTGTAATCATATTTTGAGTT